TCTTCAAGAGATAATGCCGGATTTAGTATGGACAGAGTTGGGTATCCTGATGCTCTCCACGTCATTTGAGCATATTGGCATTCAAACAACATATGTTCTATGGTTTCTTCTTCATTTTGGCATCTCAGACATTGAGAATTTCTTGTGATGTGTCTCTTTCGAAGACAGACTCCAATGGCCATAGCTTTTGAGAGGATTTTCCAAAGGAAATGTTTCAGTTTAGGAACTGTCTGTAGTTTCCATATTTTGGCCTTAAGTGTGATGTCACCAGGAGGAGCGAGTGGTCTTGTAGTAGTTGATGAATGTGTTGCAACCCAATAAGCTGATTTCACTGTGTATAGACCAGATTTGTTGTAATGCCATCCCAAAAAATCTTTTGTATTACGAGAATTTACTCTCATGGAAAGGATGATGTTTGCATCTTCTTCAACAACCAGGCTTCGAATTCTTTCTTCATCCCACAGGTAATTATTAGAGATCCATTCATTGACAAAACAATGTTCTGGAAATTGCTGCAAAGATCTAGGAGGTCTGGGTGGAGTAGTAGGGAGCCAAGGGTCAATCCAGGCGCTTACTGTTTTCCCATTTCCGATGTTGAATCTTAACCCCTTCAATAATAGGTCACGACCTTGTAGAAGAAATTTCCATATATAAGAGTTCTTCCGCCCTTGCTTCGCAGTTAAGACATTACTATCAGCAAAGTATATTCCCTTGATGATTCTTGCCATTAAACAATGAGGATTTTGAAGAATTCTCCAAACTTGCTTTCCAAGTAAAGCTAGATTGAAATTTTCAAAATCCCTGAAGCCTAATCCTCCCTCTTTTTTTGGTGTACATAGTCGGTTCAAAGAAAACCAATGCATTCCTTTTGTCTCGCCTCCTTTACCCCACCAAAATCTGGCTAAGATACCATTTATTTCCTCACAAATTCCTTTGGGAAGTTTGAACACATTCATCGAGAAAACTGGCATTGAGATAGCTACTGATTTTAGTAATATCTCCTTACCTCCATGTGATAGAAATTTTTTATCTCAACCTTATGTTTTAGCTTGAACCTTTTCCAAAATGTATTGAAAGAGATCTGCCTTTTTTTCCCTACTATCTCTGGAATTCCAAGGTACTTGCCTCCTCCACCATCATTGTAGATACCCAATAGACTACGCATTTGTGTCTTCACATTATGATGAACTCGAGATCCAAATGTGATTGCAGATTTATTGGTATTTATTGCTTGACCTGAGGTTGCTTCATACAACGAGATGACTCTTTTAATAGCTCTGCCTGATTTTGGATTAGCCAATGTAAAGAACAGAGAATCATCTGCAAATAGTAAATGATTCACTGCAGGGCTATGGTTACTGAAAATCTCTCAATATTTATTTAAACTTATTACTTCTTTTTTTTGGACAACATTTAAACTTATTACGTTTAGTGAAGAAATCTTGTTGCGTACGAGCGGCACGCATGGCTAATACGGGCCCAGCTTACGGCCCAATTTACACGTGCGAGCGGCACGTATGGTTCTATAACTCGGATTACAGATACTAAACCGTTCGGACTTCGGAAAAAGATAGTTTCTTTCCTCTCCGGCAAGAAAAGCGTAAATTTCAATTCCAATTGAATCTCAAAGCTCCGACCGAAAACCAGAAAAAAAATGGTGAGAGATATCGAAGATGAGATCAGAGACGAGAAGAATCCTCGCCCGCTTGACGAAGATGACATAGCTCTCCTCAAGACTTACGTAAGCTTCCCTCTCAGAATTTTCACTCTTCTATGGTCGGATCCAGTTTTAGGCGAGTCTATGATAGTCAAATTCGCTACACTTGGTTTCTCGAACGAGTGGTTGGTTCCTTATTTCTTGCTATTGAACCTGTTTGCTAGGTCTCGCCTCTCTGGCAAATTGATGTTTCGTCTGGAGTGATTCGAGCTACGTTTGGTCTATATTTAGTTTTAGTTTTGTGTTAGAATATGAGTAGTTTCGCGTTGCAACATTCATAGTCATACAGACTTGGTTGTATATGTTGTCTCTCTTCATATTTGTTCTTCATAAATCTCGTTCCTTTTGCAGGGGTTGGGGCCTTACTCTGCACCTATAAAGAAAGTAGAGAAAGAAATCAAGGAGCTCGCCAAGAGGATTAACGATCTCTGTGGTATGTGCACACTCTTTGTTGTACCTTTGATTAGTGCTTCTGTTTATAGCATGAGTAAGAGCATTATTGGAAACCTTGATGAGCTTTTCACTTCCAGGTATCAAGGAGTCTGATACTGGTTTAGCTCCTCCCAGTCAATGGGATCTCGTGTCTGATAAACAAATGATGCAAGAGGAGCAACCTCTTCAGGTAGGCTTTCTTTCTTAGCATAGTTCGATGAAGTTTCTTCTTCTCTATTGTGTAAATATAAGGAGGGATAAGGTGAACGGTTTTTTTATTGACTATCCAGGTTGCGAGATGTACAAAGATAATTAGTCCAAACACTGAAGACGCTAAGTACGTCATTAATGTCAAACAGATAGCTAAGGTACATTATATCCTCAAGCTGATGTTTTTGCATAGCTAAGCCTTTCGACTTGTGATTATAACAGGTTTTGTTTTTAATTCTTAACTGCAGTTTGTCGTTGGCCTTGGCGATAAAGTTTCTCCCACTGACATTGAGGAAGGCATGCGCGTGGGGTATGTTTCCTCTTTCCTGTTTATGAACTGAGATTTTTTCTAGCCATTAGTTCCCTATGTACATTTCTCATATGGATGATAACTTACAAAAACGGTCCATTTTTGAACTGTTCCTGCAGAGTTGATCGGAATAAATATCAGATACAGATTCCTCTACCTCCAAAAATCGATCCTAGTGTGACCATGATGACCGTTGAAGAGAAACCTGATGTAACTTACAATGATGTTGGTGGCTGCAAGGAGCAGATTGAAAAGATGAGAGAGGTTTGTTGAACTTTTTTATCATCTCGTGTCATTATCTTCTCTCATTGCCTAAAGTTATAAACTTGCTGTTGCGGTATGCTTTTTTAAGGAAGAACGTTCTTTAATTTTTTTTTGCTGTCTTTGTTGATTGTAGGTCGTTGAACTGCCAATGCTTCATCCAGAGAAATTTGTAAAGCTTGGAATAGATCCTCCCAAGGGCGTTCTCTGCTACGGTCCTCCTGGTACCGGTAAAACCCTTCTGGCTAGAGCTGTGGCCAATAGAACCGACGCTTGCTTTATCAGGGTTATTGGCAGTGAGCTCGTTCAGAAGTATGTCGGTGAAGGAGCTAGGATGGTCCGTGAACTGTTTCAGGTAATCAATTATCAAAAACTCGTTTTTACTATCTGAATTTTATCTAGCCAAGGATGCTATATTGTGTTCTGAAACTGTATAATACTCGCTTTTCAGATGGCACGGTCCAAAAAAGCTTGCATTGTGTTCTTTGATGAAGTTGATGCCATTGGTGGTGCAAGATTTGATGATGGTGTAGGTGGTGATAACGAGGTCCAACGTACTATGCTTGAGATTGTGAATCAACTTGATGGGTTCGACGCACGTGGTAACATCAAGGTTCTTATGGCAACAAACAGGTTCAGTCTACAATCCCATTACCAGCATTGAGCTAAAATACACAACATAACACAATTTTATACCACTTTGGCTCATTGGTTTTTTCTCTCTGTATTTACTCTATATTCCAGGCCTGATACTCTGGACCCTGCTCTTTTACGTCCTGGACGACTTGACCGTAAGGTTGAGTTTGGTCTTCCTGATCTGGAGAGCAGAACACAGATCTTCAAGATTCACACAAGAACCATGAACTGCGAAAGAGACATCCGTTTCGAACTTCTTTCTCGCCTCTGCCCAAACTCAACCGGTAAGTCCCAACCATCAAACAGATTCTAATGCTCTCTTTAGTCTCTTTGATATTTGTTCTGAGTTATGGTTTTGTTAAATTGTATTTTTGCAGGAGCTGATATCAGAAGTGTATGTACCGAGGCTGGGATGTATGCAATCAGAGCAAGGAGAAAGACTGTGACTGAGAAAGACTTTCTGGATGCAGTGAACAAAGTCATTAAAGGATATCAGAAGTTCAGTGCAACTCCTAAGTATATGGTCTACAATTAGAGAGTGAGAGAGAGAGAGAGATGAAGTCGTTTAGCTACTTCACAAAGCAAAACTCAGAAACACGCTCTTTGTCCTTTGTTTCTCTCGCTTCAATCTCTTTTGCAGCACTTGTTCTTTTGAGTCCAGTAACTCTCTTGTTTTCTTCTTCAATGTACTTTTGATTACTTCTCTTACTTTAAGTTTGTTATTTGCGCTCAGTTCCTCTAAACCCAAGTAGAACCAATGTCAGTATTTGAATTAAGCAAGTGAGTTTGATTATGCGTTTAGAACTTAGCAATTTTGTTTATAAGAAGTTACCCAATATTATCAAAAAATGAACCTTGTTAAGAATTTCAGTTATTTTTTATTGAAGCAATATTTTTTATTGAAGCAATAGTTGTGAAATTGTGATGTGTATTACCGGACTTGTAATTTACTTTATTTTAACAATATTTATCAACAGTGTTTTAGGCGGATTAATAACTACAATTTGTAAATTCGTAACTAAGTAAAATAGTAGTAGTCAGTAATCACTATTACTAAAAGAACAAAAAGAGGAAATTTTTTTTTTTTTTTTGGGTCGAAAAAGAGGAAATTTAGAAACTAAAAATTACACGTGGCATATCTAACGGACAACTGAAAAATGGAAACATTGATCCGAACCGTCCACCAGCTGGACTAATCACCGAACCTAAGGTTCGGCCTTGCTCTGGATATCGGATATCCCCAAACCTAATTGTAAAAAGGAAATAAAGAGGGGTAAAAGGAAACTTAGAGCCCAAGTAGTCTCCAAACCACAGATTATAAACACAACCACCTCTCGCCTCCCCTTTCTCTGCCTAATCCTTTGACAATCAAAATTCTGAGAAAACAAAAAGAGATAGAGAGAGAGAGAAATCGAAAATCTTAGAGTGAGAAAGATGAAGAGATCGATGTCTAATTCTAATAACAGTAGCCGATTTGGTCAGTGGCACGACGACTACGACTCGAACCGTCCCTACAAGAAGCTAAAAACAGACCGCGTAACAGAGGACGATGCTGATTCATCTTCCAAGACGAACACTTTCCAGAAGCAACCAATCATAAGCAACAATGTTCCAGATACCGAGTGGTGGGTCGTGACTCGTTTTCGTGGAAAAGTCTCATACGGCTCTGTTCACGTAGCCGTGAGTACAGCCATTGGAGAAGATAACTCTCTCCCTAACGAGATGGCAATAAAAACCACCGAATTCTCACAAGCCTCACGTCTCAAGAACGAGGGAAAATTCTTACACCGTCTCCAAGATAGCCCGTACGTTGTCTCCTACTACGGAAACGTAGACGAGAACACCAAGAAGATGCTTTACAACACGATTCTTGAGTACTGTCCAGGGCAATGCCTCGAGAAAAGCATCAAAAGCCAGAGAGGAAGAGGGTTACCAGAAAACGATGTGAAGAGATTCGCTGTCGATATCTTGTCTGGTCTCAGGGATACACATGGAAAGGAGATCATACACTGCGACATCAAGCCCAAGAACATCTTGCTCGCTGCTGATTTGTCTGGACTGAGGAGACCTTATGGGTTTATTGCTAAGATCTCTGGTTTTGGGAAAGCGAAGAGGAAAGGGTCGGATGAGTACGGTGAAGGATGGGGTCAAAGGAGAGGCACAAGACGGTTTATGTCACCGGAGCTTATAGGAGACATGGTTTTGGACTATGGTGCGGATGTGTGGGCCTTTGGTTGCACGGTTCTTGAGATGTTGACAGGAAAACGAGTTTGGGAAGAGGAGGGTGAGCTTGATTGGGAAGATTGGATTACTCTCATTGGTGATAGTGGTGCGGTTCCTCATGTCCCTGATCATTTGTCTGATAAAGCTAAGGATTTTCTCTCAAAGTGTTTGGAGAGAGACCCTGCCCGTAGGTGGACTGTTGATCGTTTGATCAGACATCCGTTTGTTTACGATTACTCTGTAGAGGAGGAAGAAGATGGAATAGAAGATTTAGGAGATGCAAATG